CCATGGAAAGCATCACATAACCTCTCTTTATTAACATCATAAAGCACATTAATAAATATCCTAATTTTGAACTAAACTTACATTCCTGGACCAAATCTCAAACATTTATGATGAATTATTTTGGTAATATATTGCTGAAATAAATTTGTTAATATTTTATTTATGATTTTATATCATAATTTGAAGTGACAAGCTGTACTTTTCTTTTCTTTTGAGATTGTCCTGTACACTTCATAAAAAGCATTTCTAGACTTTCTTTTTTTTTTTTTTTAAATTTAGGATATTATGGGGGTACAAACATTTTGGTTATATGAAATGCATTTGCCTCCCTCAAGCCAGAAATGTGTCCTTCTCCCATACAGTGCACCCTGTCTTCATTAGCTGCAGATTTACTCACTCCACCCACCCTACCTCCAGCCCCCAACACCCCTACCTGACCAGCACCCAGCGAGTATTTCCACCATGTGAGCACCTGAGTGTTGATCAATTAGTACCAGTTTGATGGCGAGTGCATGTGGTGCATATTTTTCCCTCCTTGTGATACCTCACGTTGAAGGATGGGCTCAATCTCTATCCAGGATAATATAAGAGGTGCTAGATCACCATTGCTTTTTGTAGTTGAGTAGTATTCCATGGTATACATATACTACATTTCATCAATCCACTCACGTATTGATGGGCATTTGGGTTGTTTCCACATCTTTGCAATTGTAAATTATGCTGCTATAAACATTCGAGTGCAGATGTCTTTGTTATGAAATGTCTTTTTTTCCTTTGAATAGATGCCTAGTAGTGGGATTGCTGGATCAAATGGTATTTCTATTTTTAGTTCTCAGAGGTATCTCCAAATTACTTTCCACAGGGGTTGTACTAATTTGCAGTCCCACCAGCAGTGTAAGAAGTGTTCCAATCTCTCCGTATCCATGCCAGCATTTGTTATTTTGGGACTTTTTGATAGAGGCCATTTTCACTGGAGTTAGGTGATATCTCATTGTAGTTTTGATTTGCATTTCCCTAATGATTAGAGATGTTGAGCACTTTTTTTATGTTTGCTGGCCATTATTCTGTCTTCTTTTGAGAAGTTTCTGTTCATGTCCTTTGCCCATTTATTGATGGGGTTGTTTGATTTTTTTTTCTTGTTGATTTTCTTAAGTTCTGTACAGATTCTTGTTATCAGCCCTTTATTGGATGTGTAGAAAGCTTTCTTCTTTTATATTCTTGAATAGTTTGATTACCATCACAAACATCCCTGTGACATTTTCTAGCCATGGTGCTTTTTATTGGTGGCAATTGGAGGATAGCTCTTTCTCTATTTTTTCTATGGTAGTCAGTTTAGATTTCTAACTGTTCTAGGATAATTTTAATAAATTATATCTTCATAGAAATCTATTTCATACTTAGAGTTCAGAAAAATACAATTTCAAATTTTTTATTGATATATAGTAGTTGTACATATTTTTGGGTACTTTTGATATATGTATACAATGTGTAATTATCAAATCAGGGTAATTGGGATATCCATCACCTCAAACATTTATGTTTTGTTTGTGTTGGGAATATTCCAATTCTTCTCTTCTAGCTATTTTGAAATATACAATAAATTACTGTTAACTAGAGTCTCCTACTATACTATCAAATACTAGAACCTACTCCTTTTATTTAACTGTATTTTTGTACCCATTAACTAACTTATTCTCTTCATTGTCCCCTCCCCCTATCCTTTCCAGCCAGATTCTTCTGATCTTGTGATACCTCACTTCGGATAATGGGCTCAAGCTCTATCCAAGAAAATATAAGAGGTGCTAGATCACTGTTGTTTCTTATAATTGAGTTAATATTCCATTGTATGCATATACCAAATTTTAATAATCCACTCACGAATTGACGGACACTTGGGTTGTTTCCACATCCTTGCAATAGTGAATTGTGCTGCCATAAACATTCGGGTGCAGATGTCTTTATTATAGAATGTCTTTTGCTCTTTGGGGTAGATGTCTAATAGTGCTATTGCTAGATCAAATGGTATTTCTATTTTTAGCTCTTTGAGGTATCTCCAAATTATTTTCCACAGAGGTTGCACTAATTTGTAGTCCCACCAGCAGTGTAAGAGTGTTCCTGTCTTTCCACATCCTCTCCAATATTTGTTGTTTTGGGATTTTTCATAGAGGCTAATCTCACTGGGGTTAGGTGATATCTCATTGTAGTTTTGACTTGCATTTCTCTAAAGATTAGAGATAGATGTTGAGCATTTTTTAATATGTTTGCTGGACATTATTCAGTCTTCTTTCGGAAAGTTTCTGTTCATTTCCTTTGTCCATTTATTGATGGGGTTGTTTGATTTTTTTCTTGTTGATTTTTTTAAGTTCTAGATAGATTCTTATTGTCAGCCCTTTATTGGAAGTGTAGAGAGCAAATATTTTCTCCCATTCTGAAGGCTATTTGCTCTAATGATTGTTTCCTTGGCTGTGCAAAAGCGTTTTAATTTGATCAGATCCCATTTATTTATTTTTGTTGCTGCTGTAATTGCTTTAAGTGTCTTCTTCAAAAATTCTTTGCCTAGGCCAATGTCTGAAAGGGTCTCCCCAACATCTTCTAGAATTCTTAAGGTTTCATGCCTTTAATTTAAGTCTATGTCTCATATGTTGTGTCTTTTTGACCTGTAGAAACCAGTTTTCAGTTATATATGGAAAGTTTTCTTTTGTCTTGTTTGTTTCCCTTCCCCTTTTTGCCTGAATTCTGTCTCTCATTTCATCTCCCTCTGATATCTTGAAACCTTTCCCTGAGGTCTTGTATCTGTGCCTCGTGTTCTTGTTATATAGAAGTGAATGCTTTATTATATGTTTTAAGCTCATGCCTGTTTATTGTTTCTCACATAATTTAGCTGTTCTCTGGCAGGATTTTTCTTGTATTTGGAGTCAAGCATTTGTTCTTTCTGATTTCTCTCCTTCTCTTTCCGCTTTTTTTCTTTAGTGTCTTTGACTAGATCTTGTGCTGGTCCCTTTTTGATGCCCAATGAATTGAAAGGTTTCTGAACCAGTTTTCTTTGTGTGTGAGAGAGGTTTTTGTTGGGGAAAGGTACATGTCTTGATTTGTGGTTGTTTTTGAGTAACTTTTGCCTTGACTTCTCCATAGTCAATGCTGACAATGCAAGCTTCTTGTTCTTACAGTCTTACCTAAATGCTACACAATCAGCTTGCCTGGGTGGGGCTTCTCATTCAGCACTGCCTCCTCTGCTTCTCAGATTCAAATTGAGATCAAAGAAGACTATGCCACCAACATGTACACTCAATTCCCCATTTTTATGAACAAGGGATTTTTAAAAAATATTTTGGTGACCATATCCCCAAACAGTCATATCAGTCCTACTCCTACAGCATCTCTGATTTCTGGGATCTCCTTAACCATTCCTGTCCCTAAATTTCACTGCCCTTGGCTCAGGCAACCATCACCCTTCTTCCCCTTCTGTTAGAGTTACCAGATGACAAATGGTTCCCAGCCTCCGATTCCCATCTATGACTTCCTATCTATGACTCTCCACACCTGCTTATTCCATGGGCAATAGAAACATTGGCATTTTTTGATCCAGAGGTTGACATAAAATCTGAAATACTTAATTCAATCTGCTTTCCAAGTACAGGTCTTCATTTGAGGACATACCCCTAGAGCCATTGGTCCATCTACCAAACCCAAGTCAGGGACAAGTGGCAGACCAGTCAGTGACTGTGCAATGCAGAATCCTAACAGCAACTGGCCCACAGGCCATACTTACAACTTTGATTCTGGAGAGGAGTAGCTGACAATATAAACAGAATAAATAATTTTAAATTAAGCTATTATTTGAAGTCCTGTGAAAGGGCTTAAGTAACAATAATAACACTAGCAATTTATTGAATAAGGGCTTTTGAAATTATACCTCAGAGTATGGTTCCTCGTCTTGGAGAAATGTACTTGGATGATCTTTCTGAAATCCACAATCATGGATATCTTCTCTCTGATTCTTGTGAAAACTTCACTTGATCTTTACTAATTCTAGAAGTCTTGAAACCTGGGCAACAGTTTCAAGTGATTTCTAGTTTCCCTGGAAACGTTTTCTGTTTTGAAGTCTGCTTATTGGTGTCTGATTCTCTGAGATTGACTTTTTTAAATTTCACATAAAAGGAAGATCACACAATATTTGTCTTTCTGTATCTGGTTTATCTCACTTAGCATAATGTCCTTCAGTTTGAATAAAGGAATATATTTTTAATGTTCTCAATACAAAAAAATAAGTTGGTGAGGTGATGGATTTGGTAATTTGCTTGATTCAATCTTCTACAAAGCACACATAGATCAAAACATCACACCATACCCCATAATATGTATAATTATTATTTGTCAATTAAAAATAAATTTTAAAAAAGTAATCTACTTTTTGGCTTAGGTTGATCCCTCAGAGAAATATGGGGAAATTCTATCTTAATCTCACTATATTCAAAAGGGAAGTCTTTTATTATTTTAACAAATTTTATTGTATATATTTAAGGTATATGGCATGATACTATGAGATACATATATATAGCAAAGTGGTTATAGTAGTGAAACAAATGAACATATCCATCATCTCACATGGTTACCCACTCTGCTCCCCACAGTAAGACCAGCTATAATCTATTCATTTAGCAAAAACCCTGAATACAATACACTTTATTCACTCTGGTCCTCACATTGTGCATTAGATCTTTTACCTTAATTTATTTTCCCATGTATTGTGACCCACTCAGCTAGCAGAGGATGGGAGGGACAAGGTGGTGGTGGCATTGGGCATCTCAACCGAGAGCATGGCTGGGGCACTGAGGAGGTGGAGGTCAGTGTGTGAGGTATGGCCAGGGTCCTGGGAAAATATTCACCTAGACACTGGGAACTCACCATGGGGCTTTGAACATAAGTGGTTTAAAATGTTTATGTTGAGTAAGTGAGTGAATGGACTGATACTTCTCCCCTACTGGGACATTTCCTTACAGGAACTCATGGAGCCAGAAGCTGGGACCAACAAAACTGCTGTTACTGAGTTCACTCTACTGGGCCTTGTGGAAACAGAAGAGATACAGTCTGTGGTCTTCGTGCTCTTCCTCTTCGCCTACCTGGTCACAGTAGGGGGCAACCTCAGCATCCTGGCCGCCATCCTGGTGGAGCCCAAACTCCACACCCCCATGTACTTCTTCCTGGGGAACCTATCGGTGCTGGATGTTGGATGTATCACTGTCACTGTTCCTGTAATGTTGAGTCATCTTCTGTCCCATAGGTTTATAATTTCCTATGATGCCTGCCTTATACAACTATTCTTCTTCCACCTTCTGGCTGGGATGGACTGCTTCTTGTTGACCACTATGGCCTATGACCGGTTCCTGGCCATCTGCCGGCCCCTCACCTATAGCACCCGCATGAGCCACACGGTCCAGAGGATGTTGGTGGTTGTGTCCTGGATCTGTGCCATCACCAATGCACTGACCCACACTATTGCCTTAACTACTCTCAATTTCTGTGGCCCCAATGTGATCAATCACTTCTACTGTGACCTCCCACAGCTCTTCCAGCTGTCCTGCTCCAGCACCCAACTCAATGAGCTGCTGCTCTTTGTAGCAGCAGCCTTTATGGCTGTGTCCCCCTTGGTCCTCATCACTGTGTCCTATGCCCATGTAGTCGCTGCGGTGCTACAAATCCGCTCCGCAGAAGGCAGGAAGAAAGCCTTCTCCACATGTGGCTCCCACCTCACCGTGGTGGGCATCTTCTATGGGACGGGTGTCTTCAGCTACATGAGGCTGGGTTCAGTGGAGTCTTCAGATAAGGATAAAGGTGTTGGGGTTTTCATGACTGTTATCAACCCCATGCTGAACCCACTTATCTATAGCCTCAGAAATACTGATGTTCAGGGTGCTCTGTGCCAGGTACTCATGCGGAGGCGGTCACTGACCTGAGAGAAGATAGGGTCCCTCCTTTCCTGCCTTTTGTGGACTGAGGAAATTTGCCAGAGCAACCAGGAAAACTTTTCTATAACTTTTTTTTTTCTATCTCCTGATTCCTGAGGAGTGGTGTTATGTGTTTGTCCTACAAGAAAATACTATATGATTCATTTATTTATTCATTCAACAAATAGTAAAATTACTTTTATGATCTAGACAGTCTTCTAGGGCATTGGTGAGCAAATCAGACAGAAGTCTCTCCAGTCAAGAAAATCACATGCCATAAAGGTAAACAAAAGAAATAAATAAGCATTCTATATAGCATACCACATGGTGATAAGTTCTATAGAAAAAAATAAATAATATAGGGAGATATAAAGTTAGGTTCTGCCAAGCAAGCCTCCTCGACAAGTTGCTACCTTGTTTTTGGCTGTGTACACTTTCTGGGCAGAGTTGAAACTTCGGCAGTCCTGCATTCCTGAGCAGCAATGTCCTACAGGGCAGGGCCACTTGGTTAATCACAGTCTAAGTAACCAAGAATATCACTGCAAAGTTTCCTTCTGTTAGGGATGTGACATTCCCTCCAGATCAGTGTGGAAAGGTGTTTTAAACCATGGGTCCAGTGCCAAGAATCATTTCATTTTACTGTTCACATAAAATAAGCTCCTTCTCTTCTCTACCACATAAGAATCCCAGAGGATGTTTCAGGGTCAGGTAGGGTCTAGAGAAAGAGTTCACTAAATAAAACTACATTAATGCACACATGGTATATCTTAAGATCAACAAAGGAATGTTCCATTTCCATCCCCTGCCATATCTTTCTCGCTTACTTGATTTCACCTCCCCCACACATAAGATAAGACCTTTGAAGGAGTAAGCATTTATATTCCAAGCAGGTCTTTAGAATTTTTATTGTGGAATGTCCAACATACCCTTCTCCAAAGTCTTACTTTTCTCTCCCAAAGCTCCTAGCTAAGAAAATATTCATAAATGTAGTCCCTGAGACTGATGCCTCTTTCTGACTTTATGTTTATTAGTAAGTACATCAGTTCAGCTCCAACCCAGAGTATTTCTTCCTCTTGATGTTTATCCAGCCTTCAGCCCATTCATTCCCGATTTCTCTCCAGCCTGTCTGGGAGGGCTACTTACAGGAAGACAGGAGGAATAAGTTCTAGTGTTCCATAGCACTGTAGGGTGACTATACTAAACAATAATGTATTATATTTTTTCAAATAACTAGAAGAGGAAATTTTGAATTGTTAAACACTAAGAAATGATAAAGGTTTGTTTTTTGTTTGTTTGTTTATTTGTTTTCTGAGACAGAGTCTCACTCTGTTCCCCAGGCTAGATTGAGTGCTGTGGTGTCAGCCTAGCTCACAGCAACCTCAAATTCAGCCTCCCAAGTAGCTGGAACTACAGGCATGCGCCACCATGCCCGGCTAATTTTTTCTTTATATATCTGTTGGCCAATTAATTTCTTTCTATTTATAGTAGAGACAGGGTCTCGCTCTTGCTCAGGCTGTTTCGAACTCCTGATCTCAAGCAATCTGCCCGCCTCAGCCTCCCAAAGTGCTAGGATTACAGGCGTGAGGCACCGCTCCCAGCCAGAAATGATAAAGGTTTGAGGTGGTAGATATGCTAATTTCCCCAATTAGATCATCTATACACTATATAGATCACACTATACATGCATTGAAATGTCACACTGTACCCAATAAATATGCACAGTTGTTTTAATTTTTAAAAAATATTAAAATAACTAACATAATTAAATGAATGAATGAGGTTCTTAAGCAGACTTTGGCTCCCTTTCCCATGCTTGAAGAAGTAACTTTTAGGGCCTCAGGTATGACTGAGCTCCTAGATAAAGACAAACTAAACTGCAGCAAAGAAAATAAAGTTCATTTAGGTTTAGGTCAGGTTAAAAAAAAGGACAATGCAGACATAAAAATTAAGGAGAAAAAAAAAGGATTAAAAACAGAATGATGTGAACACTTGCATAGGAAGACATAAGAATTTTTATTCAACAATAAAAAGTTTAGCAGGAGGAGCAAGGGACTGAGATGTTTTGGTCTTAGTATGGACATGGAAGGAATGAGTATCATTTAAAACAAATGTTTTAGTTTTTAAAAAGAACATATGAAAAATTAAAGTGGTTTAATAGCTGGACATAAATCTGAATTAAAATATTTAAAATTATACCTCCTCAGGGTCACCTGTTATTAACAAAGAAGAAAACTTTCCTACTAACTTACTGAGAACCCCTTCCTAGTTCAACTATACACCTTTACTTCATCTGTTTTATTTATTGGGCAACTATGTAATATTTCATTTAAGCACAAATCTCCATGTGAGGGAAAAAGGTCTGGAATAATACTCAAATATCAATGTCAATATATCTACTGGATAAAATTGCATAATAATCCCAAGTGTTACCATCATAGAGATAAAAGAATTTTCCTCTTACAGATGACTCTTCCCAGGGCTCCCTTCATGTCTCTGTTCCTCAGGCTGTAGATGAAGGGGTTCAGCATGGGGGTCACCACAGTGTACATCATAGCCATGACGGTCTCCTTCACAGTAGAATTATTTGCCGACGGGCATAAGTAAAGACCAATAACTGTCCCATAGAACAGTGACACCACAGAGAGATGGGAGCCACAGGTGGAGAAGGCCTTACGGATACCCTTAGCAGAAGGGATCTTGAGGATGGAGGAGACAATTCGTGCATAGGACACGATGATGAGTACGAATGGGATGACGAGAATGAGGCCTCCCATGATGAATATCACCAATTCATTAACTCGAGTGTCAGAGCAGGCCAGCTTCAGCAGAGCAGACATATCACAGAAAAAGTGAGGGATCACGTTGTCCGAACAGAAACACAGTCTGGCCATGAGCAGGGTGTGCAACATGGCGTGGAATGTGGTCAGCACCCAGGACAGCACCACCAGGGAGAGACAGAGCTTGGGGCTCATGATGGTGGTGTAGTGCAGGGGGAAACAGATGGCCACATAGCGGTCATAGGCCATGGCCACAAGGAGGAAGCTCTCCAGGTCTGCAAAAAACAAAAAAAAGTACATTTGGGCTAAGCAGCCCATGTAAGGAATGGATGGGTCTTGGCTCTGCATGATCTGCAGCAATTTGGGCATTGTGACAGAGGAAAAGCAAAGGTCAGAAAAGGACAAGTTGCTGAGAAACAAATACATAGGTGTGTGAAGGTGGTAGTCCAGTCGAATGAGGATTATGATGAGGAGGTTTCCCAGAACAGTAGTAAGATACATGGCCAGGAAGAGGGCATAGAACAGGTTTTGGTGCTCTGGCTTCACAGGCAAACCCAGGAGGAGGAACTCTGAGATGACAGTTTGGTTCCTTCCTGTCATTCTCTGTGTTCAGGGTCTTTAAAATAAAATAAATGGGTCCATTAAATCTAAAGAAAAGTAAATGCATTTCTATGATACATGGTCAGATGATCTGAACCAAATTATTTCACCATCATTATCCATGACAACAATCTCTATAATCATAAATATGCAAATATCACATTTTATTAATCTACTTATGAATTGATGAACATCTGAGTTGATTCTACATCTTTACAATTGTGAATTATGCTGCAGTAAACATTCCAGTGCAGGTATCTTTTGGATAAAATGACTTACTTTCATTTGCGTAGATACCCAGTAGTGGCATTACTGGATTGAATGGCAGGTCTACTTTTAGTTATTTGAGGAATCTCCATATTGTTTTCCATAGAGGCTGCGCTAATTTGCAGTCTCTCCAATACTGTATAAGCATCCCTTTCTCTCTGCATCCACACCAGCATCTATTGTTCTTGGACTTTTTAATAAAAGCCATTCTAACTGGGGCAAGGTGATATCTCATTGTGGTTATAATTTGCATTTCCCTGATTAATAAAATGTGGTATGTGTACACCATGGTATACTACTCACCCACAAAAAAAATGGATTAATACCTCTTGCAACAATATAGATGTAACCGGAGACCATTCTCCTAAGTGAGTATCTCAAGAATGGAAAAATTCCACACATACTATTAAATTGGAACTAACCAATGAGCACACAAGTGCACAAACAGAAGTAAAATTCAGTGGAGAGCAGCCAGAGAGGAAGGGGAGGAGAGAAGGGGAATAAACCAACCTAATGAGTACCAAGAACATTATTTGGGTGATGGGTACATCTATAGGTATACCTATAGCCAGGACTCAAGCATTACAAAAATGATCCATGTATCCTAAAAAAAATAAAAAATAAAATAAATATGCCACATCACTCACTGTAAGCCACTTTCAGACTTACTTTCTTCACTTCTTATTACATGTAACAATATTGATTCTCCCCTCCCTACTAAAGCACTCTTACCTATTAGCTTCTGTGCAATCACACTGGTCCTCCTAATAATTCCTTAGTCATTCATTCTCAGTAACTATAATCAAGTTTCTTCCCTAACAGTATCTTATGTTTCCTGGGGCTTTTTCCTAAACTCTATTCTCTTACATTATAGTTCTATAGCTACAGCCCTAAAAGAGTTTATCTATGCCTATGGCCTTGATTACAGTCTAAACCTTGTGGGTAAACCTCTATATCACTTTCAGTACTGTATCATCAACTGCTTCCTGATTATCTCCCCATCTATATATCACAACTGTCTTCAGCTCAACAGATCCCAAATGAAATTTGTGAACTCTCCCTGCCTCTCTCCCAACCCACTCCTCCAGTCTCTCATATCTCAGTAAAAGGAATCCAGGCTCAGTCAGAAACCTAAGAATTTTCTCTCATTTATTCATTTCTCTCACCATCAACATCTAATCTAATAATTCTCAGATTCTGCCACTTCATTCTCTAATTCATCCACTGTTCATCTCAACTGCTGCTGTCTGGACCAGACTGACATCCTATCTTGTCCAAACTATTTTCATCTCCCTGCTTCCAATCTCACTCTCCTTCAATCCCTTCACACTACAGTATTCTAAGATAAAATGCTGATCATTTCCTGCTTAAATCTTCATGGATTCTCATTGCTCTTAAGATAAAGGCAAAATTCCTTTCAAGGACAGAAATGATGTCTCATTACCTGACCTATGCCTATTTCCACAGACTCATCTGGCCCACAGGACTCTTGTATCCCTCTCTCCAGCATTGCTGGACTTAGAAGTCATAATTTATTGCCTCCAGCCTTTCATATTTGCTGATCCTCCTACCTAACACCTTCTTCCCTCTTCCCCTTTTTCACCTGGCTTACCTCCAATTTTCCTTTAGGTATATTAGATGTCACTCGCTCTGCTAAACCTTCCCTGTTTCTGCAGACCATGCTTCAGACAGTTTCCACAGCATCCTGTCCTCATCCAATAGCACTCAATAGCCTTGATTGCTAATGAAGCTGACTTTCCTATCAGATTGTAAACTCCATACAGGACATGCTTTTGTGACTGCAGCAAAGCCAGCACCTGGCATGGTATCTGGTTGTGGCCAAAGTTTCATTAATATTTGTTGACTGTCCTTCAAACTGAGACATAAATTCCTCAAACTTTAAATGTAGCAACTCCCACTGAAGTTACAATAACTACTCCGACTAAATTCTCCTGGAACAAGAACTCACTTGCTTTAACCATTTTGCATTAGCTTTTAACATTTTATTGCAAAATTCCTAGATGTATCTTCAGACCCATGGAAAATATTAGACTATCCAACCACACTACTCTTTATCCTAAACAGACAATCCAATATGCATGCCCATACAGTCACCTGTTACTTATGTTGAAATCCACATGATTCAGCGATGATGTGAAAAAATACATCTGATAGGTTTAGTAATTTGAGAGAAAATGAAGGAGTAATTTCTACCCTTGAGACCTCACTCTTGTCCTTCTCCAGATATCCATACTCCAGAGCGCCTCAGAGCTAAGAAAGCTGAAGAGAGGTGTTAAGGCATTTGGGAAGTTTCTTCCTTAAAAGACAGAATTAAAACCAACTGCTGGAATTTTCACCCTGATGATGCTGTTTAATCAAGCTACATTAACGTTTTTGCATTTGGACATAGTGTGCTAGTGTTGCAGCAGGCAAATGCATCAAGTGAAGTTTCATATGCCTGATTTCTCAGAAGTTTGTTTCCCTAGGAAATGCGTGGGACTCATTTCTGGTGTCAAGAATCTTATTAGGAATCACAAACCAGAGACATCACTTGAAGATGCTGCCACTGATGAGGCATATAAGTTTCAGTGGCTCTCTTCATGATGACTCTTATCTTCTTTACCTGGTAGACATGGTAAATCTATATTTCTGAACCCAGACTGCCCACAAGACTCACAAAGGTCACTGTTTCTAAAAATTTAATTTACATACAAACCACCTGGTGGCCCTATTAAATGTTGATTTTGATTCAGTAGGTCCAGTGTAGGGCCTAATAGTCTACATTTTGAAAGTTCAAATTTTATATTTGGTGATGCCAATTCTGCTGTTTTATGGACCACACTTTGAGTAGTAAGGACATACAGTATAATTTTTAAATACAAATTATTGCACCTTCCCCTAGTAAATGTAATCGGAATCTCTGAAAGGGTGCCTTAAGTAAGCTCCTTAAGTAATTCAAATATATATCCAAGGATTAGGAACCTCTGCATCAAATGCCTACCTCACAGAGATGCCATTATGTTGAAATGATACAATCTTGTGAGAGTACATGGCATAGTAATAATGAACACTATCACTAGTAAAGAGTTTAAGTGATGGATGTTAATCGAAATTATCAAAGTATTTCTGGAATGTAGCAAAGTCTGGAGAGGTAGAGATGTGGAGAAAAGGTAAGTTATTATACCTGAAAAACTATCCTACAAAGCATCATACAACTGGGGAAATCTAGACCCTCATGTTGTAGGGATACTAACGCACCAGCTCATTTACCCTTCTGCCCAACTTACCAAGTGTGTCTGAAGGCCTAGATATGAGATCCTGCTCCCCTTTATTCATTATAGGCATGTGAAGTAACAGCCTTTGTAGTCGTCACCTGGATCTAAACCTGCCCTTCTCACACCTCCCCTTCTACTCATCTCTGGGCCTAAGGGGGCTCTGCGTCCCAAAGGAATTTAGATCCTGGAGGAACTCATTAAACAAAAAGTAATTAACCAGGACCTCTTTAGAACAAATTTTCTGAGAGTCCCATAGCAGCGATTACAATCACTGATTACAATCACTGATCACATCTGACTATACTTTGGGGGATCATGAGGATGGAGAGAAGCTCATGGACAGACAATCACTGCCCGCTTAGGGAATGGACAGTAGTCCTGTGTGCCTGGAGGCTACATTTTGAGAGCTTAAGAAGAATGGCTGGAGAAGCCATAAAAGTAAGCAAGGACCAGACTTTAAATGTTGTAAAGTATCTTGTGTATAATAGTTTAGGTTTTATCCTGTGGACAAGAAGAAGCCATCAGTGGTCTTTGAACAGAGTACCACTAAGGAAAGACACATGCTTTAGAAAGACTTCTGGGTGACAGAATCTCTCATTATGTCCCAAATCCCTATAAACAGGTCCTAGGAGAGAGAAAAACTGCAATCAACAAGGATCAGACTTCTATTACGGAACAATAGCAGATACACAGAAAGGACAGAAGTGAGAGAAAAGATGAACTCTCCCAGATCATATTCAATTCTTTCTCAGGCCAAGGTAAAAAAGGAAATCCAGATTTGCATCTCTGAGTTACTTCCATCTCCTTACCTCTCTAGGAAAACCTTAATAACACCCAGACACCATCATTATCCCACCACCCTCCATATATGTCAGATTACGCCTAATGTCAGCATTTCCTTCCCCTGCAATTGACCACAAGATCATAATTGACATTTATAACTTCTTCTTCCACACCTATTCCATGTTCCCTTTTTCATCACTTCAGCTAGATTCAACTTTCATTCTCTGTGAGTCTGAATTCTCAGTATTATTGCCTTTATTGGGTTGCTATAATAGTTTTCCATTAACTTTTACTAAGTGACACCCAAAAGAATCTCTTGCATATCAACCATGATCTTTCCTCACTGTGTAGAAAACACAATTTTACATTGTTCCTGTGATTGAATTACCTTAGGCAGCATAGTAACTCCCATTTTTGTCTACTGGTTCAGTGACATAAAGAACCCCAAATTCCCAAATGGCAATCTCAACTTTTACCATGTTTCTCCAAAAATAAGACCTACTCATAAAATAATCCCAAGCAGTATTTCTAAGCATTTGCGCAATATAAGCCCTACCCCGAAAATAAGATCTAGTGATGGGCGTGGCTACACAACCTATCTGCACAACCCATGTATTTTGTCGCGGACTGGTAAAGAAGACTAGCAGCCCTTCTCATCTGCCCCACTGTGACAGCTACTATCCCAAAGGTGACCGGAAAGGTGCGGGCAGCCCCACCAACAAGGTGGGCTCCCCGTCAGGTCCCGGCCATCCTGTGCGTGCTGCAAGCTGAGGCTTTGAGGGGAAAGTCTCCTCAGTGAA